TTCGAAGGTTCCTTTTGGAGTTGATTTCCAATTTTATTCCATTGTGGTCTGAAGGAATACTTGATATATTTTTGACTTTCTTAAATTTACTGAGACTTGTTTAGTGGCCTGTCATATGGTCTGTCCTGGAGAATGTTCCATGTGCTGATGAATACAATGTATATTCTGCAGTTGTTGGGTAGAATGTTCTGTAAATATCTGTTAAGTCTATTTGTTGCAGAGTATAGTTTAAGTCCATTGTTTCTTTGTTGACTTTCTGTCTTGATGACCTGTCTAGTGCCGTCAGTGAAGTATTGCAGTCTCCCACCATTATTGTGTTGCCATCTATCTCATTTCTTAGGTTTAACAGTAATTGTTTTCTAAATTTGGGAGCTCCAGTGTTAGGTGCATATATATGTAGAATTGTAATATTTTCCTATTAGACTACTCCTTTTATCATTATATAATGTTCCTCTTTGATCTTTTTAACTGCTGTTGCTTTAAAGCTACTCCTGCTCACTTTTGTTGTCCATTTGCATGGAATATCTTTTTCCACCCCTTTACGTTAAGTTTATGTGAATTCTTAAGTGTTAGGTGAACCTCCTGAAAACAGAACAAACTTGGTTAGCGAATTATTACCCATTCTGCCACTCTGTCTCTTTTCAGTGGAGCATTTAGGCTATTTACATTCAATGTTAGTATTGAGACATGAGGTACTATTCTATTCATCGTGCTACTTGTTGCCTGCATACTTTTTTTTTTTTCATTTTGTTACTGTTGTATAGGTTCAGTGAGATTTATGCTTTAAGGAGGTTCTCTTTTGGTGTATTTTGAAATTTTGTTTCAAGATTTAGAGCTCCTTTTGGCAGTTCTTGTAGTGCTGGCTTGGTAGTGGCGAGTTATTTCAGCATTTGCCTGTCTGGAAAAGATTGTAACACTTTCAAGAGCGTATCAACTGCAGTCCTGTAGAGAGGATGCAAACTTGCCTAGGGACACCTGGTTAAGTACTCAAGTTTCTCAGGCCATGGGCAGGGCCACAGAGCACCCAAGAGATTATAACCTTTATCTTAGGCCACCAGGTAGGGTAGAGAAAGACCACCAGGTAGGGGCAGGGATAGGCATTTCTGAACTCAGCCTCTCCTTGGGCAGCAGGTCTTGCTGTGACTTTTATGGGGAAGCGGGGTGTGGTTCCCAGTTCGGTGGAGTTATATTCCCAGGGGGATTATGGCTGCCTCTGCTGAGTCATATAGCTTGCCAGGGAAGTTGGGGAAAGCTGTCAGTCACATGCCTCACCCCACTCCCATGCAGCCCGCCGTCTTAAGGGCCTATCTCACTCCCATTGTGCCTCCACAACAGCACTGAGTCTATTTTCCAAGCAGCCAGTGACCAGAACTGAGAACTTGCCCAGGACCACGAGCCTCCCATTGAGAAAGCAAGCAGACTCATCTCAGGGAGCCTGCGGCAGTGACTGAATTCCTTCAAAGGTCTGTGGATTCTCTCGGCTTTCCTGGTATATTCCTGTGGTAGTTCTTGGAGCAAAAGTTCATGATGTGAGTCTCCACACCCTGCTCTGTTCATCCAAGCAGGAGCTGCAAGCTAGTCCTTCCTCCCATCTGCCATTTTAATCTTGTCTTCTAAGGTCTTTTAAAAAGTTAATCTTGGCCATTATAGTAAGCCCTACTATAAACTACTCTAATAAGACTCTGTAGCCAAAAATTCATACGCATTGTCTTTAAGAAGTATTTTTTCAACCCCTTTAATGATTTTCAGTAATATAAGCAGTGGAATATAATGATATCATTATTTCACTTTTCCTACTTTTGAAAAATCGCTTTTCTTTTATTAAAACCATCATTTTTGAATGTTTAACACTAATTGTGCTTTTTATCAATATCAACTATCAATTATGAGCTTCTTATAATCAGGGAAGGTCTTTAATTATGTTGCTTAATAAATAAAATAAATTGTATAAAACCAATTTCACTGGAAATTCTTCTTTCCCAGCTAAAGTATATAAACATATGTTTGCTGCTTTTCAAAAACCACATAACGTGGAATCTAAAATGAAATACGTTTTCAAAAGACATTTTATTAAGTGACATTAAACAATCCAAAGTCACTCCAAGTAATATTTTATCTACTAGAAATGCACTTCAAATGTGCAAACTAATACCATTTATCTTGTGAACAATTTATATAACTCAGTTGATTTATCAAGTACCCTGGTTTGAGCTTTAACTAAGCAACCTACACCTTAAAGTAGACTCAGGAGATTCATTGGAAAAATTACATCATTTTTATTTAAAATAAATTAATGAAGTACACAGTAGTATTATTACTTTGTAAAGGAGAGATTAAAGTTTAAAGAGGTTGATTTTGTCCCCAAGTAAACACACTGAAATAAGTCTTCAGATATTTAAATCATTCTTTTCTCGTCATCATGGTTGACTACCAAACATAACTGAGACTGCTATGTTAACAGTAGTGTTTTCTAATTGTTGCTTTGTTTTATTTTTTACTATGAAAATCTTCAAAAATACACAAAATAGAGATAATATCATAATTAATTCGTGAACTTTTCACCCCATGCAACTATTGCCTAGCTTTGATAATTTTTAAGAATTTGTCTACTTTGTTTCACCTATTTCCTTACTCATACTTGTTGGTAAAGTCCATATACCATATTGGTACCACCACATATATCTTTATAAAAAGTTTTCCAGAAAAAACAAAACAAAACAAAACAAAATACCATTACAACACCCATTAAAATTAACTATACTTCTAGAATAACAGTCAATCCTCTAATTTCTCTGATTAACTCAGAAACAACTTTATAGAAAAAGTTTATATATTTCAAATAAGTATACCAACAAGAATGTCAATTGCATTTGCCTCTTTTAACCTACAACTCCCACTCCTCCTATTTTATTATGCCATTTATCTTTTGAAGAAACCAGACCATTAATCTTGCAGAATCTCTAAATCCTATATTTGGTTGCCCACAATCTTTTCATGACATTTAACATTTTCTCCCCACCCATTCCAATAATTCCTGTAAAATTGAAGTTTGAACTATTTGAATGGATTATTTCTTCTGAGAGGGGGATAGGAAGGAGGGAAGAGGACAAGAACACTTCAGAGGTTGTGCTGTTGTACTTCAGTCAGCATTGCATCAAGAGAGGCAAAGTATAGAGTTATTACACTTTTTGTGATGTTAGAGAATTGATCAATGGGTTTGGTTTTGGTATTCCGCATCTAATCCATCCTTGAAAAGAAAAGTACTCTATCAACAATACATCTTTACAGTCAGGTGGGCATGGTGAGTCAAACTTGTAATCCCTGCACTTTGGGAGACTGAGGCAAGTGGATCTCTTGAGCCCAAGAGTTCAAGACCAGCCTGGGCAACATGGTGAAACCCTGTCTCTACTAAAAATACAAAAATTGGACATGGTGGTATGCACTTACAGTCTCAGCTACTTGGGAGGCTGATATGGGAGAATCACTTGAGCCCAGGAGGCAGAGGTTGTGGTGAGCTGAGATCACGCCACTGGACACCAGCCTGGGCAACGGAGCCAGACCTTGTCTCAAACAAAACAAAACAAAACAAAAACAAAACAAAATAATATATCCTTACAATAATGCCATAGAGATTTGGATACTGTCCTCATTCTTTTTAATGACTGTTTGGTATACCATTGCATATTCAACAAGTATCCTATTGATGGGCATTTCAGGTGCTTCCAATATTTTTCCATTATAAATATTTTGCAGTGAATAGTTATATGCATGTACTATTTTGTCTTTTGCCAGTATCATAGAATTAGATATCCAGAAGTTAAGCTGTTGGATCTAAGTTGTAAAAACCATCTGCATAAAAGTGTGAAAATCTACATTTTTAGAAGGATATCTGTCAAATCAACTACAGGAAAAATGTACCAAGAAATTTTTATCCTAAACTGGTATTCAACTGAAAAAATTTCAAATGCAGTTTCTTGTTTAGTATTAGCCAAAATAGAGTGTAAGAAAATATCAACATTGTTATTGCCTTCTTTTGACAATTGTTAATATGATGTTATTAATTAACCAAATATACTACATAAACGAAAATTCACCATGAAGTTTTACAACTAAAAATAACTACAGAGGTTATGTCTAATTTCCATGAGTTAAAAATAAAGACAAGTACCATATAAGAGACTGATTTTCTAAAATGTATGCAGCAGGTCCCAAGGTTCTAAAGCTTTAGTTTAATGCTATATCCACTTGAAAATGACTATGTTAAAGGGATTATTAGGAACAAAAAAAGTAAGTGTAAAAGTTTACCTTTGCTGTCAAATATGTACATTTGAATGGACAACCAATAATTCCTATAACCTACTTTAAAGAGAGTAATTCTGGAATTTGAAGACACAACATTTTATGCTTTAACATAAATTTAAATTATTACAAATATATCAGGCTCCCTCAAGTCATTCAACACAAACTTATTTACCTCCTGTAAAACTGTGTGTGTGTGTATATGTTTATGAGTGTGTCTTTGTGAGTGCTACTGGTAATTATTACTTTTGAGGTCAATCTTATTGCATCAACATTAACCTATGTAGGAAGTGGCTAAGATTTGGAACAGTAATTCTTGGATCCACCAAACTTCCATTTGGTTACATAAAATAAATGAAAAGTGAGATTATAATTATTGCTTTCTTCCACAAAACAGAAGAAAATATGAAACTTTTTGTTACATATTTAACTAGAATATTTCCTATTTTGGAAATATTTTTTGTAGAGTTTTTCTTATTTATAATTATCTTCCAACTGGATTTATATTTCCATAAAAGACTTTAAAATCATTTAAGGCACCCAAATTAGGTCTCCATGGTACCTAGCATGTTCTTTGCTATAGACTATAAAAACCGAGGCCTGAAAAGACTGAGGGCAGCCTTAACAGTGTTTAGGCTATCAGTGAAAGCTACTGACCAGGGTAGGAGTTGTATGATATTATTCATCTCTTTAACACCTACCAGAAGGGTGAAGATTCTGTTCCTCTAAAAATTCAAGATCAAGCATTAGATCATCTTCATCCAGTTCACAAGATCCCAAATTATTCAAAACATCCTGAAGAAAAATCAAAACCAACAATTAGAAACCAAAACACTGAGTAAATGAGGAAATCCTCATACGTGGAAGCCATGAAGCAAAAATAAATTCCAAATCAGAATGAAAAGTTTTAACTGAATCTCAGAAATTATTTGACACCTATGGACTTTAAAATTATCAGTTCAATAAAAACTTCCAAGACTTATTCTAAAAATTCTTAACTTTTCCAATTATCTGCACATTCATTTTTTTTCCTCTTAGTGATATGTATGTAACTTATAATTAAATGGAAGTACATATGGGCAGATATGAAAGATATTAGAAGTCAGGAAATGATTTCTTGATATGAGAAATACAGGTAAGTGTTTATTTGAATAAAAACTTCTTTAGTGATATTAAAAAGGAATTTGTTCATTGCAAAAACACAAAAAGTATATACAAGTTTTTCAAATAGAAGTCTGTGAAATGAAACTTCAGTTACTTTTTCTAATATTTATATTTCAAATGTAAGTAACATTCTTCTAACACATTTAATGAATTGTTTTTCAAACAAATTTTGTATATTGTGACAACTGTGAAATATTAATTTAGACCATGTTTGGAAGTGAAAATTTGGCCACCATTTTCCAATTATTTGTTTTACATTAGGAATAATGGGCAGGAAAACAATCTATATTAATTAGATTAAAATTAATTATTGACTTGCATTATACTATAATATATCAGAACTGAGATTATGTTTCCTATTCTATTTTCAAGAGGGCAAACAGCAAAATAAACTCGAAGGCTACACTGAGAAGTCTTGAGAAGAGATGGTAATGTGCTGAGGTGCAGAGGGAGGAATTGCTGAGGAAGGAATAAAGTCCTGATTTGCATATTTGTATATATATAAATGGTGATAAGTATATTTAAAAAAGTAAGAACTTCTATTTAGAGACTAACAAGGAAATAACAAATGTACAAAAAAAACCAGAACATCAAAAACATCAAAAAACCAGCCTAAATACTAAATGATGCCATGCCATCTCAGGTCACTTTTCAGCTAATGCGAATGTTAGCATAATTTGTAGTTAAAGTAGTTTAAACTAAACTAAAACATCATCATAAACTAAAATATCATTACGGAAAGCTAATGATATTTTCAAATGGATAGTGCACACTTTAGTCCTTGGGATTAAAAGTAAGGACACTGGGACTTTTAAATAAACCACTTCTTCTTTAACCATTCAAATTAAACATTATTAAACTGTAAAAACACGTGTGATCCATGAATAGTGCACATACCATGGTTTGAAAGGTGATCAGTATACCGAAATCTAAGTGCTTCTTTCTCTAAACGAAGGTAATGAATAATTTAAACTATAAATAAAATCACTTGTTTATTGGAAGCTCTGTTCCATACAGTGTCAGCGATAGTCCAGTGAGAGTAAGTTACTTATCTATATACATTAAAAAATGAGAAAATACAGGCAGCAAAAGATTAGCTGTCATACTAAAAATGCAAAACAGAAAATTAAAATAACAACAACAACAAAACATAATTGAAGTTGTGGAAAAAGAAAAGTTTTTAAAAGGGAGATTTTTGTGAAGATACTGATATGAGTGTTTATCAAACACACTATCCAAATGAGAGAATCTTAATCTGGTAGTCAATAATATATTAAATACATTTTATAGTGAAATCATAGTAATTTATCCAATTTCAAATTGGGGTAAATAATTTTACATTTGGATTTTGAATTCATTGGATTTAATTGTATCCTTCCAAAATTTATAAAAAATCCTAACCCCCAGCACCTTAGAATATGACTCTATTTGGAGACAGAGCCCTGAAAGAGAGAATAAAGGTTAAACAAGCTCATATGGATGGGCACTCCAGTGGGACTGGCATTCTTATAAGAATAGATTAGGACACAGACAGCACACAGAGATAGTGACGAAGACACAGAGATGTGACGAAACACATGAATTCACAGAGGGAAGGAAGATAGGCCATTTGCAAGCCAAGGAGAGAGGCCTCAGGAGAAACCAACCTGGCCATCACCTTGATCTTGAACGTCCAGCTTCCAGAACTGTGAGAAAACAAATTTCTGTTGTTTAAGCCACCCAGTCTATAGTACTTTTTATGGCAGCCCTGACAAACCAATACAACCAACAAGACTTAGAAAGCAGTGAAGGACAGAACAAAGGAAATAAATAAATGTCTGGCACATGACTACTATTTTTTATTATACCAAGTGAGGACATCTTAGACATTGTAAACTTCTAGAACAAGGTTGTCACAGCATTCCTCCTTTTTAATTGGAACCACCCTACCCAATCCACCTAGCTATAAAGGGAGCTACCAGATTCTTACATGAGCCAAACTCCTTCTCCTTGGTGAATGGTCCAAGATGGCCATCTTAACTGAACTTGGTGACCAAAGTCCCATCCCAGAAATGAAAAAAAAAAATTCTCTGTCTGGTGATACATACTGCAAGATGCAAAACACTGTCATCACAGGGGCTATGGATTTCATTGTATAGTCAAGAACAGTCTAAGCCTACTTGAAAAATTAAAAAATGTCATAGGTAGGTCATCTTGTTCCTGTTTCCAGTAGTTCCTGAGATCCAGAGGCATACATGATGTTTTCAAGGTGGTTGTTCAATCCCTTTTTGAATTCTGACAGTTAATACATTCACCCACAACTTGAAATAAAATTTTAAAATATTTAATTTTTTAACAAGGAAGTATTAAAATCTCTGCCACTGCTATTCTAACATTTCATATAAGATGGCAACATCAATAAAGTGAATGAACTAAATTTGGAAAATTCGCTACATTGTTCTCATTTTATTCTCCTTTTGCAGGTAACACTTGACACTTGGACTAGCAGGGTTTCATTTGCCACTGGTCTAGATGAATTGTTTCCTAACTCTACTTATTTTAAATTGCCTTCCTTTGATATTGTGCTTACAAAGCAACTTTCTTGTTACTGTAGAGGAGAATCTTTGAAGCTGGTGAAACCTCATAATAAAAGAAGAGTAGATGCAGCAACATGATATGTTACCGAAAATAATCAATGGTGAATGCATAAACCTAAAAACGTCTTTTCCAGATCTCTCCCTAAAAGATACCAATAGCAGCAACAGTCCTTTTGCCGGCAGCTAGCACTGATATTGGTCAATCCTAGCGGCTGGATACTTGCTGCCTAATATCTATTAATAAATAATGTTAGTAAAAATCAAAGTCCTTTACTTATTAGAGAAAGGGAAAAGAAAGAAAGAAAGAAAAGAAGAAAGACATAAAACAGGATGTTTCTGGGACAATCCTTTTGTTGCCGAGAAAACAAAATTCACCTAAGAAAAAAATTCACTGTTTTCAAAGGCTAGATAAGGAAAGCTACTTAGATGGCTTCTCCCTAGGTAATCTCTGGCAATATAAGCATGAAGAAAAAGTAATCAGTACAGCTAAATAGAATAATTTGAGACTGTTGAAGGTTAGCTTTTATCCTAGAAAAGAAAAAATTAAGGATATAAAAAGGTACTGCTAATAAAAAAATACAAATTGAGTAGAAAATTGTTAATTTATATTGGTTTTATAGTTTATATATGGGTATTTTGTTTTTCTTATTATACGTATGTTTATAAACTGTAGTCATGTATTTCTTTCTCTCTGTAGAGCCAGGGATCTGTAAGTAAACAAGTAGTACCAAAAGTAGTTCTGTACTAGGAATAGAAAAAAACTGTTTAGCACCAATAGTCATATGTAGGAATCAGGTAAAAAAAGAAATCCAGCAATTAATCAACACTAATGATGATACTCCAAATATAAGAGGGTACAATTATGCATTTCAGACATTTGATAAATTAGCAGAATGTAGAAGTAGAGTGATAACTAAGCAAAAATAGTTTCTCATCTCCTGGTAAATAAGAACACTAGATAGCCCCACATAATAAAGAAATAATAATGAAAGTCCATGAGTTTTTGTTTGTTTGTTTTTGTTTTTTGAGATGGAGTCTTGCTCTGTCGCACAGGCTGGAGTGCAGGGGTGCGATCTGGCTCACTGCAACCTCTGTCCCCTGGTTTAAGCAATTCTCCTGCTTCAGCCTCCAGAGTACCTGGGATTACAGGTGTGCACAACCACGCCCGGCTAATTTTTTATTTTTATTTTTATTTTTTTTTATTTTTAGTAGAGATGGGGTTTCACCATGTTGGCCAGGCTGGTCTTGAACTTCTGACATCATGATCTGCCCACTTTGGCCTCCCAAAGTGCTGGGATTACAGGTGTGAAGGTTTTAATAATGTTAACATAGCAGGAACAAGAAAAGTGTTAAACAACACAAGCAAATGAGATTTAAAAAGAAAATCATTTTGTGATTTTCTTTTTTGAATTTTCTGTATATTCAGAGAAACTTCAAACCCATGATACCGGCCATAATGTTGGACTTTGCTTTTACAATTGAACTCTACTTGTTATGTGCTCTTATGTCTTTTTTTTTTTTTTAAGTTAAAGCCAACCTTTTAATTTTGTATAATATGGGTTATTTCTGGATTCTCTATTTTTCAATTTGTGTACCAATCTACTTTACACCAGTACCGTATTGTTTGGACTACTATAGCCTTGTAAATTGAAGGAAGGTAATGTGATGCCTCCAGATTTGTTCTTTTTGCTTACAATTGCTTTGGCTATTCAGGCTCTTTTTGGTTCCATATGAATTTTAGGATTGTTTTTTCTAATTCTGTGAAAAAATGATGGTGGTATTTTGATAGAAATTACATTTACTCTGTAGATTGCTTTGGGTAGTATGTTCATTTTCCCAATAATGATTCTTCTTATCCATGAGAATGAGATGTTTTTCCACTTGTTTGTGTTATCTACAATTTGTTTCATCAGTGTTGTGAAGTTCTTCTTGTAGAGATCTTTCACCTCCCTTGTTAAATATATTCTTAGGTATCTGGGAAAAAATATTTCCAAATGACACATCTGAAAAAGGACTAATATAGAGAATTTACAAGGAACTCAAACAAATCAGCAA